GGCTGATGCCACGGCACTCTAGCCCAGGCAACAGAGCGAGACTCTGCCTCAAAAAAAAAAAAAAAAATTGATTTGAAACTTCTGCTCTGTGAATGATGATACTATCAAGAGAATGAGAAGGCAAGCCACAGCCTGGAAGAAAATACTTAACAAAAGAAATTTCTGATAAAGGACTGTTTTCCAACATATACAAAGAACTCTTAAAACTCAACAATAAGAAAATGAGGCAGGAGGATCACTTGAAGCCAGGAGTTTGAGATCAGCCTGGGAAACATAGCAAGATCCCATCTCCACAATCAATCAGTAAGCCAAGCGTGGCAGCGGGCACCTGTAGTTCTAGCTACTTGGGAAGCTAAGGTGGAAGGATTGCTTGAACCCAGGAGTTTGAAGTTACAGTGAGCTACAACTGTGCCTTTGCACTCTAGTCTGGGTGACAGAGCAAGACCTTGTCTCAAACATAAACAAACAAAAAAGAAAAATGAACATACTGATTTAAAAATGAGAAGATCTGGCCACCTCAACAAAGAAAACATACAGATGGCAAATAAGCATAAGGAAAGACATTTAACATGACACCACAGAACTGCAAATCTAAATGAGCTACCACTACACACCTATTAGAATGGCCAAAATCCAAAACCCTGACACCAAATGCTAGAAAGGAGGTGGAGCAACAGGAACTCTGATTCATTGCTGGTGGGAAGGCAAAATGATATAGTTTGTTACAAATATATATTCTTGCCATTCAATGCAGCAATCACATTCCTTGGTATTTACCCAAGTGAAATGAAAATTTAAGTCCACACAAAAACCTGTACACAGATGTTAATAGCAGCTTTGTTCATGAATGTAAAAACCTGGAAGCAGCCAAGATGTGGTTCACTAGGTGAATGGATAAACAAACCATGGCACATCAGACAATGGTATATCAGTGCTCAAAAGAAATGAAAAAAGCATAGAGGAAATTTAAATGCATATTGCTTAGTGAAAGGAGTCAATATGAAAAGGCTACATTCTCTACAATTCCAACTACATGGCAATCTGGGAGAGGCAAAACTATGGAGACAGTAAAAAGATGAGTGGTTGCTGTGGTACGGGGGGAGGGAAGCAGGGCTAAATGGACAGAACACAAGGTTTTTAGGGCAATAATTCTGTATAATACTATAATGGTAGGTACATGTCATTATACACTTGTCAAAAACCCTAGAATGTACAACACTAAGAGAAAACGCTCACATAAACTATGCACTTTGGGTGATAATGTGTCAATGTGGGTTCATCAGCTGTAACAAATGTACCTCTGGTGTGGGATGTTGATAATGAGGGAAGTACGTAGAAGTGGCAGAGACGGGGAATATATGTGGATTCTCTCTACTTCCTGCTCAATTTTGCTGTGGACCTAAAACTGCTCTTTAAAAAAAACTCTATTAGAAAATGACAACTCAGTGTTCAAGCATTTTATTAAATCAGATAAGAAATCTTCACATTGTTGCACGTACCAGCATGTTTATAATTATGACTTATCACTGTTTACAAAGATATAGCTAAGCAGTAGGTTGGCCAAGTCTAAAATTTCAAGAACATTCAAAGAGCAAACACAGTAAAGGTCATGCAAGTTCTAGGATAGAAAATCATGACAGAGCTCACACATCTTATCCTTTACCTTCAAAATGCACACGATACCTTTAACCAGAACAGTTCTGAAGACTAGCAAGTTGTCACACACTTTATTCAGGAATATTAAGCCTGTTACCACTTACTGGCTTGCTTGATTGGAAGTAACTCAACCCTAACCATAGAAAAGGGGATTGGGAAGAGATTTACTGCTGTAAAATGTATACCCTTTATTCGTATTACACCTTGAAGTCACTGAGCTTTCATAAAAGTATGTACCCATGATACCCAACCCAAGCCAGAAATCCTCAGCTGTGACCTTCTCACTTAGCTACACTAAGTATCAGTCCAAGATAAAACACTGCAGATTAAAGAGACTGAGTACTGAAACAATTCAGTGAAGCTGCAATAGTCTAGGACGGTCTACTGTAACTTACGTAAGTGATACTGAGTTTAAGAACCTTAAAAGACCCTATGGACTTTTTCTCAGGTGGCAGTTTTGGACTGCCCTATGACAAACAGCTGATTGTCAGGTTTACAATGATGGCTGACAAGAAAATAAAGTCTTTACTCATGTATCTTCAAATTTATTTGTTCATATCTACATTTAACTTGTAACCACCACATACTAATGGACAGGCAGACATGATCAAAGATTTTTTTGCAAGTTCACCTCCCCCCTCCCCCCAAGCCTCCTATACAAGTTCCCCCTGCTTTAAGCCAAAAGGTCAATTCTGGATTAAAACACGCCTGAACTAAGTTTATAGGAGATAACATGGAAATAAGGGGATAAAGTTAAATTCATCTGTCAACAGCAAACATCATAAATGTATGCTACTATCCCGCTAAACAAAAGACCTGGAGAAACCAAAATGATAACAAAACACCCACATTAACTTAAAAAAAAAAAAAATCTTGAAGGAAGTAATTTGATTTTACAGTGGTTTAATTTACTCACCAAATTCTTAATGACCATAAATGTTTCTGCAACTAAAACTAAAAGATAGAGAATTATAGGAAGTTGGGAATACATGTTAGATACTAACGATCTTCAAGCTTTGAAGATGTCATTGCAAGAAGAAAATTATGGGAAACACTGTTCCCGATAATTACATACACCCTTAGTGTAACATATGGAGATCACTGTCTCCGATATAGACACTGTGGTAGGCAAAAACTACCTTGTTCTTTATACATTATGGAAGACACTGCTCCCGATAATGTGTTAGGTTTTTGACAAAGGTACTGGAAATTTTGCAAAGCTGGAATTAAAGTTGCACCTTAGAAAACAGCTATAAAATTTTGCATGAGTACTACCGCAGCCTTAAGTGACATTTATTTATAACTTGGTCTCAATTCAATGCATTTAAGAGAACTATCATTTTTATCTGGTCAGCTAAATAGAAGTCTAACTTGATTAGCAGGCCCTAATTAAATTTAGTTCTTCTCCAATACTTAGTTTTATAATTTTATTTGGCTTGCGGCTGTTTTCTAAAACCCTCAAGTGTTGACCATAAATGCAAAACTTCCAGTATCTGTTGGGTTTTATTAGCAGATGCTGCTTTTATTAAAAAAAAAACGACAGTATAACTGTCATAATTATGGAAGGCACTGCTTCCGATAATTATATTCTATTTAAAAAACACCATTTATAGTGAACTCTGTCACTGATAAATAAACAATAAATATCTCAGTGCCAAAATGATAGCTTTCCCAAAAGAGTAACACTTTGGCCAAAATTTGGCAGTGTGTTCTTTAAAGTCTGACCAACTGAGTCTGAAATTAAACACCTGAAACTGGTTCTCTTTCAGAATACTTTGGAAAAAAACAACAACAAAAAACTAAACAAAGGCTTATGGGGCAGGGGACAGAGGAAAAGAAGATATACTAAGTCTTTGGCTTCTGGTCTCCTCTTTTCATAAATAACATTGAGGTTAATACATTAAGGCCTTGCTCCTGCAATAAACAGTTGATCCTCATTTTATCCAGCAGAAGGACTTCTATTTCAGACCTCACCTCTTCTGAAAGTTAACTGTTTCATTCAGGAATGCAGAAACCAGCTAAATCCTTATGGAAAGGAATAGATCTTATTTGGAGCATAAGGTCTTACAACCTGGTATCTCCTATCTAGCATTAAATGAGGATGGAGGATCACACTAAGCCACTAATTTTAACCTTGAGCAGATACCACCTTCTTCCTCCCACAAAAGATACCAGCTCATGTACTTAGGAGTAATAGTTCACATAACTGGTTCTGATGTTTTCAAAACTGTAACAGGAAAGAGGCAGTTACCATTACAAAGCACTTAAAATACTAGAGATAATTAGAGAAAATATTCTATCATGAACATTTTTTAAGTGGTTATTCACTTTAACTTGAAGTGCAGGTACCTACCCTGTATTAAAAGCTGCTGCCTAAAAACATCTAGTAGTACCAAGATGATAGGATAGAATTTTAACATTAGGTTTTGTAGCCCTACTGAAATTTTAACATAACCAGCACAAGTCTAGAAACCAGACTGCCCTGCTGTTCTTATGTAAGTTATGGGTATCACTTTTAAAACTCATTATCGATGTCCCAAATGTCACCAGAGAGGGCATTTGCAGCTCCCTGAATAGTCCAAGTAGCTAGAGCCAACTGGTTTCTTAACAGTGTTTCATTAAAAGCACCATTATTTTCCTGACGCAGCTTCAAGTTCTCTATTAAAGCTGACAGCGTGTGAGGGCCGGAGCCCCAGAAGATATGTCGGAAAGGATAATCTTGTGGGGATACATAGGGAGAGAGGAAGTTATATTCTACCTGTGAAAACAAAATATACAAGACAAGCTTACACAGTGCTATGACTTTGGTCATACAAAATCCAACAGTTGTTCTCACTTCAAATGTCAAAATTTCCTGAATTTAAGAATGCTGAGGGCCGGGCGCGGTGGCTCACGCCTGTAATCCTAGCTCTCTGGGAGGCCGAGGCGGGCGGATTGTTTGAGCTTAGTTCGAGACCAGCCTGAGCAAGAGCGAGACCCTGTCTCTACTAAAAATAGAAAGAAATTAATCAGACAACTAAAAATACAGAAAAAAAATTAGCCGGGCATGGTGGCACATGCCTGTAGTCCCAGCTACTCAGGAGGCTGAGGCAGAAGGATTGCTTGAGCCTAGGAGTTTGAGGTTGCTGTGAGCTAGGCTGACGCCACGGCACTCTAGCCCAGGCAACACAGTGAGACTCTGTCTCAAAAAAAAAAAAAAAAAAAAAAAAAGAAAAAAAAAAGTGAACTATAATTGTATTCAGATTTTGGTTGCAGTATATATATATATATGCAAGGTTTACAAGTCTTCTGTTTCTTTCAGGTAGACTAGGATAACGAGATTAAGGCCTGAATTAGACAACAGAAATAGAAAATGACAGCAAAAAAATCATTAATGATCTCTTCTAAAATATTTCTAAAGGTGAAAAAAATTACTAATATGTCAAATGTCTCTATTCTCAGTTTAGATATGTTGGGTGTAGATCTTGCTAAGAGTTAAAAATCTGTGCTTAATTCTTAAAGCAGCAAAGAGTCTAGGCTCCTAGAATCCACTTTGTAGAAATGTAAAATTTACCAACTAAAAATTTAACATATTTTAGTTCCCCTTTTTCTAGGAGTTTACTTACTTTCATGATACGATCATTGATTTCCCTCAGGACAAATCTGTCTGTTTTCTCAGCATTCCTGAAATCTGTTGTTAGTCTGGAAGTAGCACGGAAAAAGTCTCCACGAGCAGAATATAGCCACTGTAGATTCAGGCCCATTTCCTGAAACAGAAACACATTAAATTCACTATTATTAGCAGTTATATTTCTAAGCATGTTGTTTTATATACCTTTCTAATTTATGTGTGGCAACAGAGGAGATTCTAATAAAAGGATATGACTCACAGATAAACTCAAGACTCAGAAAGCTAGACTTTGGCACCTTATACAAGAGGTTCCAAGCACTATAAACTATGGTAATACACACATATTTGAACCCAACAGACAATTACTTATCCATTCTTAGCCTAAGAAAACCATCCTCATCAAGAAATTTAACATAATTTAATTAGTGAAAGTATATAATCCTATGTAACTATATTGTTCCAAGTTCAATTTCCCTATGGGGGAAAACCTCAAACATTTTGGTTCAATGTACCTCAGACTCTAGTTATTTCCATCTAGTAATAACTAGAATATCTTCTGAACAGTTAACAACTCGTTTCAAGGAAAGATGTTGATTTAGTTATTAGTGATTTACTTCAATTAAGAGATTTGTTAAATGACTCCTACTGTCATACAACCAGCTGGAATAATATTAGTTTAGTTTAACTGAATGTTTAAATGCTAGATGCACAGGGTCGACACTAAATACAATTGTAACTACTGGCTATGTTCTCTTTCCATCCATGTCATAGTCCAAACTCATAGTTGAGATCTTTGTGTCCTATTCATGGGTTGCCTGGAATAAATGAATGACAGAAAACTTAACAGCTCTAGATTCTGAAATATTTGCTGTGATCTATCTTAGATAACTCACAGCCTCCCAACTTCTCTTTCAAATGAGTTACAAATTCTAAGCAACATTATACCTCACTTCACTTTAAAATGTACTTTGGCTACCAATCATATATATCCTTCCTTGGGAACAGCCTTCCTTGGGAACAAACATCACACTTCAAAAGGCTTGATAGTTCAGCAATAAGAACATAATTTCAATTAGTGCTCACCTTTATGTCTGCTCTGAATTGGTTCAGATCCCTCACAATTGAAAGCATTTTGTTGTTATATCTCTCATAGTCCAGGTTCAATTCAACATCATGGGTAAGTTTAATCATGAACTGACCAGCCACTTCTGCTGCCACTTGTGCCATTTTGTTCAAATGAGGGACACGCTCAGTTAGTATCTTATAGGTATCCTTGGTCGTGCCCAAATAAGGATAATCTGTGTCCTGGAAAACAAAGCTAGGCAATTGTACTCATGTAGGTTATAAGAGCAGAAGCCTCACATCTGGCTTCACCATCAAGGTAACAGTAACTACAATTTTTTCCTTGCTTCTAATATATTACCATCCCAATTTCTTCTCATATGTACCACTTTAGGAAGACATCATTCTTGCTACTTTCAGAGGAAGTATCTACTCTACACCTAGAAAGACTTTCTTCCAGGTTGTACAGAATCCCTGTTCTATTGCATCATATACCCTGAATATATTTCTAACCAAAACCAAATTCCTTGAGGCTGTATTCCTTGTCTTCTCACTGGGAATCTTGCCCATATTAATGGAAAAAGATAACGTGCATGAAATATACTTTTTTTTTTTTGAGACAGAGTCTTGCTCTGCTGCCCAGGCTAGAGTGCCATGGTGTCATCATAGCTCACAGCAACCTCAAACTCCAGGAGTTCGATACCAGCCTTTCCAACATAGTGAGAGCCTGTGCCCATAAAAAATTTAAAAAATAGCCAGACATGGTGGTGAGTGCCTGTGGTCCCAGCTACTCGGGAGACTTAAGGCAGGAAGACTGCTTGAGCCCAGGAGTTCAAGGCTATAGTAAGCCATGATTGCACAACTGCATTCCAGCCTGCACAACAGTGTGAGACTCTGTATCTTTAATAAAAAGAAAACAAAACCCTTACAAATAGAGCTGGGGAAGGTTGTGTGAAGAGAGAGTTCTCACATTTAATATGCCTAATAACAAAACTATCACAGAAGACTTTATAAAAACCACAACTTTGCACAATGGCTGTTGCAACCTTACACAAAGAAATGTTTGGGAGGACATCTGTCCAGAAACTGCCTGTCCAACCCCAGACAGATGTCCCCCTTGTTATTGACCTTAGTAGCAAAGAATAATTATCTCAAAACAATTATGTAATACTCCTCATTTTTCCTTTAAAAACCTTTGTTTTCCCTTAGCTTCCTGAATATGCACATAGTTTACTATGGCACTCGAATTCCCATTGCAATGCCCCATTCCTAAATAAAGATCACTTTCTTTTAGAGAGCCTCTCTGTTTGCTATTTAGATTGACAGATACAACCCTTTAGAGTTCAGACTTACCTCAGAAAAACAGAAAGAAACTGCTGGGATTCCAGAATATGCAAGGAAAGGGAAAGCAGCATTGTCAAAAGAAAGTTTCTCACTGCAAGGAAAGAGAACGTGTCTTTAGAAAGTTTTCTAAAGACCAGAATGTGCTACCATGAAATGCTCTCCCGATCCCCAAATAAATTCTTAAATTGAATCTCTGTAGGTATAGGTAAGCTCACTGCAAGGTTAGGTTTAGAACTCTAGCTGACACAGTAGGTGCTACTGGGCAATTCTGCTTTTCTATTAGCTTCTTCATTCACCTTTCTAAACTTACACTTTGTTGACCCAGTTGCTGTCCTGATATAGAGGCAGCCCAGTAAGTGGATGTTTCACCTGTAAAATAAGAAATTTACCATTAAAACTAACCTTTCTGAATTTTGTTATTCAGGCTAGTCACTAACATGTTTCTCTCTACAAACATTTATAAAAGCATTAAACTACTATATCTTCTTGAAAAACATTTAAGACAGTTAAAACAAATTTCTTAAGTTATTACTACTAAGCTCATGCTGTCAGTCCTATAGTTATGGTGAGAAAAATGTGTTCCTTCTTAATGACATTTTAAAGGTGGCTTAACCACAATTTTAAAAGCCCTCTCTAGCCTTCATGATATGCCTGTTTTTGGTTTCTTCTTTCTAGCACATTTTATGCTGTCAGCCTAACTGGCAAACACATTACTCTCTTGTTTGAGATCCTATAATAATCCCTGGTACCCCATGGGATCAAAGCCAAGAGCTATATGACCTTTGTTCTTCTCCAACTGTAATCACTCCAATATATAGCCTCTAACCCCAGTAGGCAAATACTTTCTTTCATAGGTTCCTCCCTCATTCAAAACTATGATCATTCACATGTCTGTTTTACTTCATGAATGTTTCATCTGGTCTTATTTAAGTCTTAGGTGTAATTCAAGTTCACTTAGACCTTCCTTAACATTTTGACTCCATATACAATCCCCTTATAGGCACCTACACTACAGCTCAGGCCTCATGGCATTTTGCTATATATTCCTAAATAGACTACATTCTTTAGATTGGAGCCCTTCATATACCACCTCCCTCACTTCACATGGTTCAACAGGTTAGGGACCAAAAAGCCAAGAGTATGACTTAAATAATGCTGCTATAGAATTTATTCTAAATTCCTGTTATTGGTTACTAATAATGGTTTAAATATCAATGTTTTTCATCTTATATAAATTCAACAAAAAAATAAGTTACATATTTTTTTGTAATTAGGTATACACTCACATCTTGCATCGTTTTCTCGATAAGAGTATACAACAGCGGGCTGGCAGAAACCTTGAAGTTTTTGGTACCTGCAAAGAAATTATTTTAATGTCCCATTTCCAGTCAAGTAATTTTCACATTGCTATTTCTACGACTAAAAGTACTTGACAAATAGGAAGATGGTAACCTAGATCATTGGCCGTATACAACGATTAACCCATTAATAAAGTAGACAAGCGTAATTTAAGAGCCAAGTACTTTAGTAACTTTGCTAACTCTAACTTGACTCAATTGAGGCTCTTATTCCTTGAGTTTTCATACTTTAATCTTAGTGACTTTTAGGCAATTTTAGGTTCATAACAAAATTAAGAGGAAGGTACAGTGGTAACCCATATATTCTATCCTCTGCCCCAACACATGCATAGCCTCCCCATCATCAACATTGGTTGATTTTCTCTTTTTTCAGCTTTTTTGTTCACCCAAGTTAAGGCAGTCATCTGCTAGCAAGAGTAAGATTGCTTTATTCAGTACATTCTGCTACAGAGGTAAAACAGGGAAATGACTAACCTAATGAACATTTAGTTCAATTGTAACACTTTCCTTTTTCTTTCCAATTTGAGAGGTTTTGCTACTGGCACTTCATCTGTCAGCTACATCTGCACTTTAAATAACATTCAAACTCTTTTAGAAACCACTGCTCTAGACAAGGCAATCTGTACCCATTCTGTAACCTGATGGACTATTCAAGAGAAAAAGCTCAGAATCTTTTGATCTGGTTATGACCAATGTAAATTGTAAAAAAACAATAGCAAGTTCTGCTTTATAAAGCTTTCTTCCACTGTTTTTTAAGTAGTTTGCCTAAATTCATAAACAGCTAATGAAAAGGACACTTACCAAGCACAGCTTTGTCCAAATTAATGTAAGTGAAAGCTTTTAAATGCAAGGAGGAAAGGTATCCCTAGAAGGAAAAATAATAACATATCAATATGCATTAGTTTATTTATCACAGAGTGGCTATTAAAAGGGATTCATTTTGAAACCTGGATTCTATTGAGACTAAATATACAAAGGCAAAGCTGAGCATGGTGGCTCACACCTGTAATCCCAGCACTTTGGAAGGCTCAGGTGAGAGGATCACTTGAGCCCATGGGTTTGAGATTGCAGTGAGCTATGATCACTGCACTCCGACCTGGGGGACAGAGAGAGACCCTGACTCTAAAAAAAAAAAAAGCATGGCTTCTGTTTAAACCAATACCAAGTTCAAGTGCCCATTCTGGGAATTGATGATACATAAAAATAATACCTCTAGCCATTCAGTGGCACCAACAGCTCCAAAGTCTCCAGCACTCCAACTGGCAAAGACAATGCTTCTGCTGGGTTTAAATCCATCTGAAACAGAATAAAAAATTAGCTTTACCCTGGGAAAGGTTATAGGCGGCAGCTGACTTAAGATGAATAAGAATAGCATCTAATTCAACATAGCAGATCCAAAAATATTTCCTTTCCTTTTGAGATCCCAGGTGAAAGAATAAAGGAATAAGAATAAATCTTTAAAGAAATCTCTGAAGAACAAGGTAAGAAATCAACTGCAAGTAATATTTCAAGTACGTAGTAGGGACTAACTTATGGGTAGTCACTCTTTTACAAGTCCATGTTTTGAGTCCCTAACTTCAGGACCAATAAATATTTGAAATCACAGTATAAGCATGATATGTATCTTCTTTGAGAACAATCTGCTTAGAGGTAAGTTACTTAAAACACTGAATTATTTTAAAAATTATGTAACAGAATAAAAATTCACAAATTAAAGTTATAGGAAGTTTCCAGACAAATTATGTTTGTGATAGCTCCTTTTGGAGCTACATGTACCAGTGCCCTCCATCCCACCCACTTTCCTGGGTATGTATTTTTCCCCATTAATGTACTTTGGTATAAAATTTAAGCACTGCAACTTACTCTTTGACCCCAAAGTTTCAAGAACATGATGTGGGTTTGCATGTGTGTATAGGTGGGTGCAGATGAGTAGCAAGTACCATGAGAGAAAGACTTCAAAAGTAAACAGAACAAAATTACAATAGTTGTGAGTATAGAGATATGCCACTGCTTTCAAATACACACCTTAGGGACTATATTAGATTTGCTGTATCATTCTGGATATATCAAACTAAGAATTGGGGTTCAATATAATACTTTCCAGTGTCTCAAAAATATTGATGATCTCTAGTGCAGCAAAGACACTTCATGGAAAGCTATTTCAAAGTCAAAAGGCAACTACAACAAAAGACTATCTGCCTTGTATTTAAGAACTAAGGGTCTAGAACCATAAGACAGGCAAAAGTGAGCAAAGCATATGATAACATCTAGAACTATATGTAGCACATAAATAATCAACTTGTACTCTACCTTTTAAGACCATATCTGAAAATATCTGGGCAAGTTTCAACAGGAGAGTTGTTCCTACACTGGACTTTGCAGCTCCAGGACCCCAGGCATCCCTCTGGGCCCCTACTATAATATAGCGATCTTTAAAAAAGAAAAAAAAAAAGATAACTTATACAATCAGCTTTCAAACTTTTTCTAGAATAAGTAGGTTAGTAGAAGGATAAAGTGTAGTATATTTATTACGGATAAAAGAGCCTTACTTCAGATCTTTAATTAAAGGACTCCAGGAATTAAAAATTCACATGACAATATTAATTTTTTTCCTTTATTAGTATTGTTGTTTTTCTATGTTGTCAATTAAATTTACTCACTGACTACTTATCTGAGCTCACTAACTGCTTAGTAAGGAACTTAAAGTCCAAAGGGTTTTATTACTAAATGATATGACTGTTTGATTGCATTTAAAACAGTCTAATCAAGGATTGGCAAACTACAGCTTGCATGCCCATTCACTACGTATTGTCTATGCCTGTTTTCAGGTTAGAATAGCAGAGTTGAATAGTTGCAGAACCTGTATAGCCCACAAAATGTCTATTATCGGTCCCCTTAAGAAATTTGCTTACTGCTGGTCTAATAGTCAATAACTTAAAATAGATTTTCTAGTCATAATGGTCAGTTTTTAACAAGTCAATTTCCTAAGGCCTTATAACCTCCCAATAAAGCCGACGTTTAAACAGTTCAACTTAGGACAGACAAGATTTAGCACTTCACAACAAAACCAAGCCAAGCCAGCGTTCCTACACTTCCTCCTTCTCTACCCAAATCCTTAAGAATAGCAAGAAAAACAGAACAAAAACAAAGGTCTTTACCCGGCTCTACAAAGCCTTTAATAACTCCAAAGATGTTAAGAATTCTTATCTCTTTCAGCATATTGTTCACAGTGAGCTTCACATTCTTATTTTGTGAGGATCGCAGCTTACAAGAAGAGTCTATGTTCCAATCAGAAGGACAATCTCCTTCCATATATCTAGAAGTAGAAAACAGGTATCAGAGTTTTGAGTTATTGTTTATTTCCCCCAATTTACAAAACTCAGTCCTATTTTCTGTCCGATGAAGTTCTAGGTGAAACAGACAAACAAAAACATGAAATTTACTCCCTAGTGCTCACCCATTTGTGTCTTACTTTGATTTATAAGCAGTCATTTGAAAACCATGAGTTACTTCCCAGTTTAAAGAATTTTTAAAAAATTTCTCTACCTGTCCTCATCCAATGAATGCCTTTCTACCAGATACACAGCTATAGTTAACATTTGACATATATACCAAAATGGACTCATGATGAAGACCTTATATATGAAAGTTCATTAATATATTTTTATATCTCCCAACCCTCTGCATTAACAAAGGTAATGTACATTCTTATCTCAGCTGTAAAAAAAAACTCCTGTGCTACCGGTAGTTAGATATCTTTCCCTATCTAATTCTTCACGTCATGTGTTATCCAACAATGCCTGCTCCAAAGGGACTCACATAAATATAGGTCAAATTATTACCTTCTAACATACAGTACCATCACAGGAAGTATTCAAGGGTAAGAGCACTCAAGGATAAGGGGGCTGGTGTGACAGTTTGGGAAAGACTTGCGGGTGATGGGTGTGATGACCTGATTCTAAGTTTGGTATGAGTCAATAAGAATCACCTACTGCAAATGCCTCTGAGCATTATTAATAGTCACATAGTATTTTATGAAACCTTTATATGTAGATGCTCTTCATCTGAGACCAACCACTCTTTGAGTTGAAGAAACAGGATCAGAGGGGTCAGCCTAACTTGTTCTATGTCATACAGAAAATAAATGCTTGCACAGAGTCTGAAACTAGATCTCCATCCTACAATAATACAAAGTGAGAAATATGTCCACATCAAGATAAAAATTAATGGGCCGGGCGCGGTGGCTCACGCCTGTAATCCTAGCTCTCTGGGAGGCCGAGGCGGGCGGACTGTTTGAGCTCAGGAGTTCAAAACCAGCCTGAGCAAGAGCGAAACCCCGTCTCTACTAAAATTAGAAAGAAATTAATTGGACAACTAAAAATATATAGAAAAAATTAGCCGGGCATGGTGGCGCATGCCTGTAGTCCCAGCTACTCGGGAGGCTGAGGCAGGAGGATCGCTTGAGCCTAGGAGTTTGAGGTTGCTGTGAGCTAGGATGACGCCACGGCACTCTAGCCCAGGCAACACGGTGAGACTCTGTCTCAAAAAAAAAAAAAAAAAAAGATAAAAATTAATGATGTGTACTCTAATCAAATTGGGTTCTACTTTTAAAGTGTGATACTAATACACTAGGAAGGATATCATGGCTATAAAGCATCTGGAAACTGCCATGAGAAGTGAGAATATTCACTTTTTAGACAAGGTAACTGGACTCATTCTATGTTGCTAAAAAGAAAACCCAGAACAAATGGGTGTTATAGGGGAAAAGATTTCAGTTCAACATGAATTCTAACAGATTTTCTCCAATAACTGAAAGGGTTGCCATAGGAAACAAATGCTTCATCACAGGAAGTACTCAAGCAGCAGCGATGCCAGGAATATTGCACAAGGAATTCACTGGGTAAATCGTACAAGGACTCCTGAGTTTATAAATCAAACGTCCATTAAGATCACTCTATGGAGAAAATTTTCATTGTTATCTATACCAAGTTAACAGATAACCATCCCTCAAATTCCCAAATGTGCCAATTGTTTTAACATTTTATCAAATCAACATATTATCATTCTTCCCTAATCATAAAATCTCACCCTGCAAGACAGTTTTTAAGTAAGAACTTACTCAAACAGCTTTTCTGCACATGCTCTGGAAATTGTTTGGACAGGTATATTAGGCAATCCTGATGACTGAGATGGTGGAAACTGAGTGTGATTGAATGAAGGGAATCCAGGGGTGTAAGGATCACCTGTTCCCAGATGAGCCTAGTAAAACAAAAAGGTAATGAGCTCTATCAGGCACTTACTCAAAAAGTTCCCTATAAGATTCAGATTTGGTATAAGGCTATATAGCCCAAGCTTTGTTTAGCAGGTTCAGGTCTCAAAAGTTTGAGTAACTCTGTCATATGTGACTCTTGTTTTTATATGGCATACACCAAATTCTCAATTCAAGGCACCACTGATAAAGTACTTTTAGTAACAATAATAAGGCCTCAAAGTTAATTTAATCCATCTTCTTCCTATCAAAACTCTCCCATAAAAAGTGTATTTAATGAAGGCGCAGTTCTATTTCTACTAATATAGATGAATGCAGTAACAATTTGGAGAACTCCAAAAATCATTTACTCAAGAAATGAAACTCACATGTCCAAAGAATGGAACATCTGCCTCAACAATGGGAAATTTAGTATGGTCCATGTATATCAAGACACCAATTGCATTTAAGCTTTCAGCATTTGCCACCTAAAGAAAAACATAAAGCTCAGAAAATGAAGATCTGATCATACAAAATGAGAAGAATATATAGTTGACTTTATGCTAAAGGACAACGGTTACAGAGGACTAATCATCTCAAATGTTTCAAACAGCTTAAACATTTAGAAAATGGATATTTCTCTTAAAACTAACTCTTTAATTAAGGAGAGTAGAGATAAGAAAAATAATGAACACCCATCCAAACAACCACTATCTTTTTGATATGTTCCAGTCTAGTCCCTTATGTAGGTTTGGCTTTCAATTCCCTTTTTATAAAACACACTTATAAGTGAATTCTGTATATACATAAAATTAGGTTGCATAGACACAATTTAAACTACTTTCACTTAAGCATTTATTACTTCATTTTCACTGAAAGACAATGGCTACAAAATAGTACAAACAGATATGTCATAGTTTTGATGCTACTTGTGACTTTAGGTAAGTGGAACTTATTTGTTGAGCACTTAATAAATTATATTATCAGGTATGAGAGTTTAAGACTGACAGTTTTCAAAATGTAAGAAAATTAACAAGAAATATCATTTAACTGAAGAATAAGACACCAATGTACTTCCCATACCCACCTTTTCTGCAAATGTGATTTTCCCTGCTCTAACAATCACTAAAGATCCATTCACAGGAGAGTTTAAATCCTCAAAGTCTTTTTTAGTGCCAAAATTAGCATGGATCAGTTTACCCTAGAACAAAGACATGAGATTTAACAAGCATTGTAGTTACCAGAACAACTCTAGAATCTAAGACAGAGAAGGCTATTACAGATCAAACCTGAGAGGAAATCAAAAGAGGGGAAAAAAAAGGGGGCCAAGGCCTAAAAAAGATATGAGAATTCTGAAGTCAAAAGTTTAGAACTTTCATCGCTTCTCGGCCTTTTGGCTAAGATCAAGTGCAAAACTTTAGAACCTTAGGTCAGAGTTAACAGAGTGAATTCAAGATTTTGGGCCTCATATATTCATGTGTCTCATTATCCCATGCTGCCTTGCATCTAAAGGGTATTTTACATTGCTTCAGATATTTCTGGGAAAGAAAAAGGGCAACAAGATTTGTTAAACAGAGGCATATGTAGGCTAGTCATGGCAGCATCAATTACATGAAGTTTCCACGCCCAAACCCCAGACAATTGAGGATATACATAGGAATAGGTCTTAACTGAAAGGTCTGATAATAAAACTGTCTAAAAACTGTTAAACACCATTATTTAGGTCATTAAGTATGATGTGTCCGATTTCCTTAAGTACTAAGTTTGACAGTTGATATCTCTTAACATTTCACTTTGACACTCATTTTATTTTTGTGAAGGTACATCCTCATTCTTTCAACGCATGGTTTGGCTTGTGATTTTCTTCAAATTTTTTTAAGAGCAATTTTTGTGAAACCATGAATAAGTCAAAAATTCGTGTTATTTTTTAATATAAGTTCCATCATAAAACCAATGCAATGCAGACAGCTTGAAATATCAACGAAGTGTTTGGGAAGCAAGTGGCTAATGAACACACAGTACAGCAGATATGATTTGAGAAGTTCCATTCTGGTGATTTTCATCTTGAAAATGAGCCACCTGGGTGACCTGAGACCAAGGTGGATAATGATGAGCTAAAAGCTGTAGTGGAAGTGAATTCATGTCAAACTACGCATGAATTAGCAGCAAGGTTTGACATTACTATTCCAATAATACTGGACCATTCGAAACAAATGGGCAAGATAAAGAAGCTGGATAGATGGGTTCTGCATGAATTAAACAAGCATCAGAAGAGAAATCATCTGCAAACTGGCCTTCCTTCGCTGTCATGACACATAGGAGAACCATATTGTTACGTGTGATGAAAAATGGATTCTTTTTGACAAACACAAGCATTCAGCACAATGGTTGGATAAAGACGAAGTGCCGAAACACAGTCCAAAACCGAGTATTAATCAAAAAAAGCTAATGGTGTCTGTTTGGTGGTCCGGCGCTGGTGTTATCCACTACAGCTTCATGAAACCTGGTCAATCAATTACAGCAGATGTGTACTGCAGCCAATTGGATGAAATGAGGATGCTTGCAATTGAGCAGCTGAGATTGGTCAATAGAGACAGGCCAATCCTCTTGCAAGACCACATGTCACAAAAAACAACGCTGCTCAAATTACAGAAGCTGAATTGGAAACTCTCTGTCATCCACCCTATTCACGAGCCCTTGCACCAACTGACTACCACTTCTTCCAGGCTTTGGACCACTTCTTGAAAGGAAAATATTCAATCCCAACAAGCTGTGGAAAATGCCTTTTGTGATTGTATTGCCACTCGCTCTCCAGGCTTCTTTGCTGCTGGCATAAACAAGCTACCATTAAGAAGCCAAAACTGTGTTGACAGTTTAGATGCATACTTTGATTAATTGTACTGCTTCTTATTTTGAAATATAATAAACTACACTTCTGATTTGAAATCGAACAGTTCATATTTAATGACCTATTGTAATAAAATGACTTGTATAAATCAATGATGTTTAGATGTCATTAAGGTTCCTAAACTCTATATTAGAGTTCAGATGAACAACTATAAACTGACATTAACAACCAAGTAGCTGCATATAGAAAGCTTGCAGGTGAACTATAACCCTTCAATGTTCTTTAATAGAACAATCTACCCATCTCCAACTCCTGGCTTCTAGGTAGCCAGGGAAAGTGATACAGCACAAGTAATCAGGAAGGCAGAGAATAACCATAGAACTTCATCTGGTTCAGAAGGTACCCAGTAGAAGTACCTGACATACAAATATGTGGTTTGTTTGGTTTTTATTTTATTATTTTATGTATTTATGTATGTATGTATGTATGTATTTATTTATTTGACAGAGTCTCACTCTGTTGCCTGTGGAAAAGATCCACAAAAACCTGTTTGTTTGGGGGTCTGTTGCCTGGGCTAGAGTGCCGTGGCATCAGCCTAGCTCACAGCAACCTCACTCCTGGGCTCAAGCAATCCTTCTGCCTCAGCCTCCCAAGTAGCTGGGACTACAGGCATGCGCCACCATGCCCGGCTAATTCTTTCCACATATTTTTAGTTGTCCAGCTAATTTCTTTCTATTTTTAGTAGAGACGGGGTCTCGCTCTTGCTCAGGCTGGTCTCGAACTCCTGACCTCAAGCGATCCTCCCGCCTCAGCCTCCCAGAGTGCTAGGATTATAGGCGTGAGCCACCGCGCCGGGCCAAATATGTAGTTTTAAAATTTGAACACCAGCCAAGATGGATATTGAGATCTGTTTTCACATAAGGGGGAATCTGATAAATGTGCTCATCTAGCAAATAAATACTACCATATGTCAGGCACTCTCCAAGGCTCTGAGACATGGCGAAAGGAAAGGAATCCCTGGCTTTTTACGTAGCTCACATTCTAGTGGAAACAAAGGAATAGATAATGTCAGGTGCTATTAAGTACCATGAAGGAAAATAAAGTAGGATGAGGGGAAAATGATTACAGGGAAGACATTTTTCATAAAATAATTAAAGAAACCCTCCCAATGAGGTAATGCTGGAGAAGAGAGTTGCACAAAGTAAGGAAACAAGCCATGTTGATATTTAGGGGATGACTGGTTCAGGCAAAGGGAAAGACAGTTTTATAAAGGCCTTAAGGTGGGAGTATACTTGAGTTTGAGTGTTTGAAGAACAACGAGAAGGTCAGAGTAGGCAGAGTAGAGTGAATGAAGGAGATAAGTAGGTTGTTTAGGGCCTTGCAAACCAACATGAGGACTTTGCATTTTATTTTGACTGTGGCACTGGAGGGTTGAGAACAAAAATAGCTCATGATTGGTTCCATTTTACAAGTAAATTCATACAATAATTCCTAAGAACAGTAAAGATAATGAGCTTTTGAGTTCTCTATTTAACAGGGAAGAGATGCACTGTTTTGCCTTACTTACGGTAACTGTCGTAGCCTTACTATATGCCACATAACCCTCAGGATAGTCCAACGTGAATACCATGGTACCGTTCAGATCCGTTACAGTCACAGAGTTTTGAGCACTGCTAAAAAAGATGAAGTTAAAATAAACTAAGGCCATTCTCAGGAAAACAATTAAGTAGCTTTAATACATTTAGCATTAGACTTGCATTATTTGGCTTGAGGAAATTTAGCTCTAAATCTTAACCTTGACTATTATTTTGAAAGTCTTTGCTATATTTAGCACATCTGAAAGTAGCTACTTCTATAAAATAAGTTTACCATCTTTCAACATACCTGCCTTTGACCTGAATCTTAATGAAATGTTCATCACGCCAGACTTTGCTAAGTTTAAATTCATTGAATTGATTTTCAACATAAAAGGCAAGATTTTCATCTTTTTGAGATCCAGCCTCACGAGGGACATACGAATTTTCATTCAGCAGCCTGGAGGAAAAAAATCTCTTTTTAAATGAACTTAAGTCTAATTTAAAATATATATTTAACTGAAGGATCAAGAAAATTATTTCAATAACATAACTCAATATTATCCCTCATAGTTAAGATAAATGAACTGTGACCCAAAACCTCTGGATTGACCAGATAGAGAAAAACTTAGAAAAAAAAAATTGTTCCCAAAATCTTAAGTAACTTCAGACTTGTTAAAACCTCTTTATCTACCATAAAGCACTCTTTCATGAGCCCCACCCTAATTCTATACATCTGCTTAGGGTAGTTTTAGGGGAAATAAGTAGCTTCCAGGAGATGCACTATAAGCAAAATGAAAGATAGTACTACTGTTGGTGAAGTCAAGATGTCCAGCTTCGATTTTCACCTACTTTTAAGCATTCTGAATCCCCAAAACTGCTCCTTGTTCTGATCTCCCATGGCTCTTTCTAAGTAGACTAAGCATATTATAGGTCTTTGATTGTGTAATTGTGTGTGTTTGTATGTATACTATACTCTCATTTTATCTATAATGCCTATCATATAGTATACACAAAAATAGTCACTAGATTAGGTAAAAACACCAAGATTCCCCTTTTCTTTTTTTGGCAGATAGATTGGATAAAGGGCTTTCTTTATGAAGGAATTTAAAGAGTTAAATAGGGAAGTTTACGTGTAATGTAGGAAGGAAGGGGAAGAGGAAGAAAGGAAGGAAGGAGAGAAGGAAGGAGGGAGGGAGAGGAGGGAAGGAAGAAGGAAAAGAGGAAGAAAGAAAAACTAAGGATTATAGTACCATTGAAACAGTAGGAAGCTGGTAAAAGGGAAAAGATGAATTTGTTCTTTACACAGAGACATGTGTCTATGGAAGATACTAAAAATCTAAGGATAGAAACCTTAAGGACATTTCTTGCAGTGTGGGTTACTGGGCGAGAATCCGCAGAAATCAAAGAATATTATTCCCTGCAGATTTGACAAGAAAACAAACAAAAAAGAAATTCAAGAAATACTAGAGATATATCAAGTCAGGCAGTCAAGTTAGTCATGATCTAGAAGATGAAGGTTACTAATGCAGGAGCAGAGCCCAGCACAACATTATAAAAGGTTAAGTTTGAAAATCAGAGCAGAAGAAAGTCTGGCAGCAAGCAATAAGCTACAAAGAACCAGATGGCTAAAACATCAAAGACCTGTAAAAATTTTTTTTTAAGGAAAAGGAGAGCCAGTGGTGCAATGGGTAATGCATCTGACTACGGATCAGAAGATTCTAGGTTCGACTCCTGGCTGGACTCAGTCCTCTTAAATAAATAAATAGATAAGAAGAAAAAGGAGAATCCCCAGTTCTTCCCTTTTCCCCCACCAGCATAGTTTCAATTCTTTACTGATCCCTCCCTGCTTTAGCTAAACATGGAAATCTCCCTTCCCTACTCTAAAAACCCTTTCCTTAAGACCGCCATTCCTCAACAGTCACCCTTTTTGTGTTTCACTATCCCTAATAATCAGTAAGTATTTGTTTAGATATTTAGGTTGAACTTGTGAAGTTGCTCAAGCTTACTTGATGGTGCTGGTGAACTCTGTGGTATCCAGCTTCTCGGACAATTTTGTTTTGAGGTCTGCCCAATATAAGCGAGAGGGTGTTCTAGGGAAGTCCTCTTCTGGCTCATCCATCTCTGGAGACTCTGTTGCTGCCAGTCTCTCACACTCAGCTTTTGGTTCAACGCCTTTACAATAGCCCAAGTAGCCAATCATAAATCCTAAAGACGAAAAGTTTCAAAGCTGAACTCATAGAATTTCCTTTATAATCTATCCTGTAGTGATTGGTACTTTCAGCTAAGCCTTGAAAATACTGTTTTCTTTTTTTCCCTCAAGACAGGGTCTCACTCTGTACCCCAGGCTGGAGTGCAGGTACATAATCATAGCTCACTGCAGCATCCAACTCCTAGGCTCAGGCAATCCTCTTGCCTCAGCCTCCTGAGTAGCTGGGACTACACAAGCGTGCCACCACATCTGGCTAATTTTTAAAATTTTTGTAGAGAAGGGGTCTTGCGATGGTGACCATGCAGGTCTTGAACTCCTGGCCTCAAGTAACCCACCCACCTCAGTTACTCAAAGTGCTGGGATTATAGGTATGAGTCACACTGCACTCAGTCCAAAATACTGGTTTTAACTAAATTCTAAGTAGTTTGAATGTAAGTAATGCATCCCAATTTTGTATAATTTAAGCTATTTAATCCAAAAAATTATATAATAACTTTATTCCAAACAGGTACTTGTCTCCAAAGCATAGGTAACTTTTCTTCCCAGAAGCACTCCTTGAAATCTTAGACTGAACTTCTATGCTACAAATACCCTGTATGTATTCTAGCATAATATGTGCATATTATATTGAAATGATTCATGTGTCTCTCTTCTTCCACCAACTAAATTCAATGGCAGGTACAGAACCTTAGTCACGATTGCATTCCTAGGGGCACTTAAAAAGGTACAAAATATCTGCTGAGCTGAAATAACAGTCTTCCCAGAGTTTAAAAGGAACACTTCAGTTTTGAATGGCCATTCTTACCAATGAAGAAAAAGAGGATTACAGCAATGATTGCACAGATATTTCCATTAAACCTTTTTGGTTTTCTGACATCGGGCCTCATGTTATTGTCAGTATTTTCTTCTTCATCTACAGCTAGTTTCATCTCCACATGACTGCTATCGCCATCTACTTGACGAGCCAGACTAAATCGGGTGTATGACAATGGTTCTCCACCAAACTGAGAATTTTGGGGGTGGAAAAAAAAAGAAAGAAAAGAAAGTATTATGAAGGACAAGAAAGGAATATTTGCAAAAAGTTTTGTCAGGTACTATACTGGGCCATTACTATGACTTGCTATACATTCTTCAGGGAAAAGAAGTTCCCCTTTCAAACCAACATTCTGCCCTGTGCCCAGTTCAGTCAATGCACAGATGGAGGCTAGATCACACACTAGTCTTCATCTCACTCGATCTTTCTGTTTTGTATGTCTCCTACTAGACAGTTTGATCAGTGCTTTATTTTGTTCATCTTATCTTCTTGACTGTCCCCCTTCATTACACCCAAACTACTCTGAAACTACTTAAAATATTTTCCATTAATTAACCCTATCCAAATCTAAATATACCCTTCCTTTGTAAGATCTGTTATGCCTCAAGACTAACAGTTCAAATATAAATGAATACCTGGTGGTAGCTTTGGGTATTACTTCATGCTTACTGGGTGAAAGTCATGCTTGTATATTTCACATTCTTATAGTCACAGAAATACAACTGAAAATATCTTACCAAGTTAGACAATGCTGATCTGGCTTGATTCATCATTCTGAAAATTCACACAGAAGAACCTAGTATTAGAATAGAGAATTAATTATGAAAGATACCACTATATCAGATTACTAGGGGTTTTTCATTAACAGGCTAGATTAACTCATTATTATATACCAAATTTACTTTTAAATATATTATCACCTTTCTAGAAAAGATCTTGGGAACCAAAATATTTAGTTTACATGACAACTAAATGTAGTGTGATCCTTGATTGGATCCTGAATTGAGATGAGGTGAGGTAGCAATAGGGACAGCTATGAAAGACATTATTGAGACAAAGAAATCTGAGTTTGGACTGCATACTGATTAACGTTATTGTGTCAGTGTTAGACTTGGGGAGTGTGATAATGGCACAGTGTTTTTAGGAGAACGCCTTCATTCTTAGGAGATGGATACCGAGCAATTTAAGGATGAAGTATCATGATATCTTTAACTTACGTTCAAATAGTTCTGTTTTTAAAAGTTTATAAGAAATAAAGTAAATGTGACAAATTGTTAACAGTTGGTGAAACTAGGTAAAGGATACATGGATAGTTACTGTACTACTATTTCAATTTTTCATTTAGGCTTGAAATTTTTCAAAATTAAAATGTGAGAAAAACTAGTTAGGATGTCATCCCTGATAAGCAGAGGTAAGCAATTTTGTAGTTAAAAGCAACAAATACAAAAATGCATACACTCCCACCTGAAAAAAAACCCATAAACTAAAACACAATTAAGTCAAAACCAGGCATGCTACAAAGACCACAAGCACCTCCAATAGAAAAGTTATCTGAAAGGTTAATGACTTGTTCAAGGCTGAAAACTGGTAATCTAAAAATGAAATTCAGTGGGCAATTGGGCTATGGAAATTGTGTTCTCATCTCTAGAAATTCAAGAAATTAACCTTAACTTTTGTCAAAACAAAATACACCTCTATATTCAACAAACTTAACTACTTTAAGTTAAAGCCTTCACTGACATCTGGATTTTCTAACTAATTTGCTTTGAGTGGATGTAGATGTTTGAATGTGATATTACGCTGAGACTTATGAAACAGACATTTATTGCATACTATTTTAAGACTTTTCCTATATACAAGTCGCACAGCATATTAAACACTCACATGGCACAAAGCAAGCTGTGAGGTATATGCAGATTGTAAATCAAAGGACATTATATAAACTGGCATTAGAAAAAGTCTCATATCTAAAACTTATTAACAAAAATGTTTTTTAAATCTGAAAGCTTTGGCCAGGTGCTGTGGCTCGAGCCTGCAATCCCAGCACTTTGGGAGGCCAAGGCAAGAGGACTGCTTGAGCTTGAGAGTTCAAGACCAGCCTGGGCGACATATAGAGACTCTGTCTCTATAAAAATAGAAAAATTAGCCAGATGTGGTGATGTGTGCCTATAGTACCAGCTATTCAGGAGGCTGAGGTGGGAGGATCACTTGAGCCCAGGAGTTTGAGGTTGCGGTGAGCTATGATGATGCCAGGGCACTCTAGCCCAGGCAACAAGAGTGAAACTGTCTCATAAATAAATAAATAAATAAAAATCCCAAAGCTTTAATGAGGACAGTCAATACGCAATAGATCATATTCCTGGAAGCACAATCTCTTGCCCCTTCTGGTACAAAGTGTTTATCACTACCACTGCACCAGAACAGTACAAACCCAATCGCTAGAGCCAGAACTAAAAAGGCCCCACCCTGAACCAATTGTAATCACCCTTTTCTAGGAAAAAAACAGCTTTCAAGTGTAACACTCATCTGAACCAGCCATTCCCCAAGTTTTCTAGTTTTAAATTAATTTTTGGCCAGGCAAGGTGGCTCACGCCTGTTATGCTAGCACTCTGGGAGGCCTAGGAGGGAGGACTGCTTGAGTTCAGGAGCTTAAGACCAACCTGAGCAAGAGGGAGGCCCCCTCCTCTACTAAAAATAGAAAAAATTAGCCAGGCACTATGCATGCCTGTAGTCCCAGATCCTCAGGAGGCTGAGGCAGGAGGATCACTTGAGCCCAGGAGTTTGAATTTGCAGTGAGCTATGATGATGCCACAGTACTCTAGACAGGGCGACAAGATCAAGACTCTGTCTCAAAAAAAATTAATTTTAAGGCTAAAGTGACAATACACTTAAATAAATGATCTAAATAAAGGATTTACATAAATGTGATTGAGTTCCAGTTTGCAGAAACAGGTAAATATTAATAGAACATTAATAATGATTACGTCTAACTAAAATCTAAGTATGCTTTTTACTAAGAAAACATGTTATTCATATTTCAACCCCCAGACCCAAATTTAGACTATAACATAAATCAAGCCAGAGGAAAAAAATTGTGACCTAGGCAATTTCCATTTTAACCTCATTTAGCTCCACATCCATGTGGACCACAATAGCTCTATGACAGCCATAAAAATTACTCCTGAAATTTGAGTCATTCTTTCAAAATGACCTCACACACAGTAAAGAAGCTTTTTATTTAAAAGAGTCCCTTAATGAATCTTCTTCCAACTGAAATCACTCCAATTTATATGCTCTAAAAGCATGGGAGAGAAACTTTCTATACCAGTTACAGTACCACTCTGTCTAGAAACCTGTTGTTCTGTTAAAATATTTACCACATCTAAAAGCCAAACAACTCAAGATAAATACTGTAGAAGAGGCCTGGTGCAGTAGATCATGTCTACAAATCCCAGCACTTTGGGAGGCCAAGGAGGGAGGATCACTTGAGCCCCAGGAGTTCAAGACCAGCCTGGGCAACATAGTGAAACCCTGTTTCCACAAAAAAAAATTTTTTTTAATTAGCCAGGCATGGTCACACATTCCTGTAGTCCTAGCTCCTTGGGAAGCTGAGGTGGGAGGATCACTTGAGCCCAGGAGGAGCTATGATCACACCAAGGCACTCCAGCCCCGAAGACAGAGTTAAACACCATCTCAAAACAAATAAAAAATGAAAACCTTGGACCTGGAATCTTCTCCCATCCCTGACACTATTCTGGTTTATCCTGAAGTCCTAAAGCCACTGGGCAAAGCTTGAGTAGTAGGGAAATTTTTTAAAAAGTAAAAAACTTGATAAGGTTTATCTCACAGAGCTCCAAGATCTCAAGCTAACTGGCTGTAGGTATTATGCAAACTATTTCCCTAGACAACTAGGCATCTGCCAGGTGAAAAAGATTCCATGAACCCACAAAACTTCTGCAGGGTCCTCAGAACTCATACTTGTATATATGCAGAATGACTCGACAAGAGATGGTCAGAATCTCCCTTAGCTTTAAGAGTCTAATTTTATGGACATAAAATGAAAGGGCAGTGGAAGAAATCAAAGAAAACAAGCAGAATCTTCATTCCCATACAGCTTTCTAAAATGAAACTGCCAAATTTTAAGGTCAGGACCACTTTAAGTCACTGCAGTCTATTTATGTAGTGTTCATCTGGGAGTGCAGACAGAAAGCACCTACACAGAAGAGTTCCGAAAGCTCTCAGAGGGTTATTTTAAAGTAGCTTTCATTGTTGTCTGATTCAGGTTTAGCTGGGAACCTTGCTCCATTACAGGTAAGTACACTATCAGAGGCAAATAAATGCCTCGCCTTAGGGCAAAGTCAGCCACATTGCTCTTCTCTATCAAATAATCTTCAACACAGGCTAGGTTCACAGCCACCATGACTTGACAAGAATATTCCGTGGAAGAAAACTTAAAGGGTACTATCCTATATATAAAACTCTCTGATATCAATGACAAATTTTTAAAGTCTATTTTTTCGTGAAGGATCTTACAATCCAAAACCGAGAAAAAACCCCAGCAGGGCCCACAAGTACTTTAGAACAGGGGTCCCCAACCTATGGTGAGTTGTGTAATTATTTTATGATATATTACAATGTAATAATAATAGAAATGAAGTGCATAATAAATGTAATGCACTTGAATCATTCCAAAACCATCCTCCCCCACCCCCATCCGTGGAAAAATTATCTTCCATGAAAACAGTCCCTGGTGCCAAAAAGGGCATCTAAATTTAGTTTTTACAGTAGGTAATTTCTGGAAATCAGCTTCAATGTCTTTGTCAATGAGGTCAAATTCCCCAGCTCAGAGACAACTGAATCAAGCATCTAGTATTCCAAATTCATATATAAGCTCAGATAAAGCCATCGGGGAGCCAAATACTTCTGTAATAGCACAATTAGTTCCCACTTCTATTACAAAAAAAAAAAAAAAGGAAAAAGCAGCAGCAATGAAGTCCCCTGGATAAGTGAAGTACCCTAGGTCACTACCAACACTGCGCAGAGGCAACGTGTTAACCGAAAAGAGCTAAATCACAAAATATTATTTTCCTACCCCTAAAGAACTGTCCAACAGACAGTGACACACCTAGCCTCTACGGTGTTTATCAATACAGCACAGACCTTAGACCATACAGCTAACTTCCAAATATCTTTTACAAATAAGTCTTAATTCTATCGGCTCCCATTCTGTAGTAGGAATTGCTAGCAAAATTCTTAACGTGAACACCTGCGGCGTTGAGTCGGACTCTGCCTTGGGAAAACAGAATCCACACACAAAGCCAACAGGCAGAGCCTAGCAGGAAAGATCAGGTTGTATTGGAGTTCAAATGTACCGTTTACAGAAATCCCCATCTAAAGTCCCGCAACTCGTAACCCAATCGGTGACAGCTTTGTCCTTCCAGCAATGAGACCAGGGCCCGCCCGGGCGCCGAGCAAGAGAAGGGCTGCCAGTCCAAGGTCACCCATGCACCCCTCCAGTCGCTCCTTGGGGCGACATCCGGGACGAGCCACGTGCTCGGGCGCACGCCAGTGCTGCCGCAGCGTGGCCGCCCCAGCGCAGGGAGCCCGCAGCCTAGGGCCGGCCCAGGAGGGCCTTCGGCTTTCAAGGGCGAGCTAGAGAGGAAGAGAGATCGCCGGGGGCATGAGGAGCCGAAAGAAGAATGGCGGGACGGACAGCGAACGTGGGGCACCCCTCATTTCGCCCAGAGAGCCCTACCTAGAGAAGCCCTCCCCTCTCCACGACCAAGGCGAGCACAGAAAGGCAAGGAAGGGAAGGGAAGGGACGCCCCTCTCCCCACAGCAGCCCCACCCCCCTGCACCTGCAGCCCTCTATTCGCGCCTCCGCCGTCCCTTCCCCATTGGCTCGAGGGCCCCGCTCCATCCCGCGCGCGCCGCCCGGAGCAGCCGAAGCCTCCCCGCTCCCCGTGCGGCTCCAAAGGCTGCCGGACAGCACCGAGGTGACCGCTCGAACCAGCCCCCCGGACTGAGGGGAGGACGTGAGGGTCGACTGAGCTCCGGCAGCGGCGTGTCACTCACACAGGCACCCCCTTGTCCGCCGCAGTACAGTACACCACCCGCGATCCCAGAGCTCTCTCCGGAGGGCCTCCCTCAACCGGCAGTTTATAGTCTGGCCCCGCCTCTCCCGACCCCCCGCCAGGAGGTTACGTCACTTCCTGCCTCACGTACAGCGGGGTGCTCTAACCTACCAGACCGCCTTGGGGGAGGGGTGTAAGCGCGCGCTGGGAGGCGAGAGGTTGAAAGAAAAAGGCTGCAAGAACGCAGGTGCCCCAAGGAGTTGCACGACTGGCAAACCGGCCTCCACCGCGGCGCCCTCGTCTACACTAGCATCCTGGAGACCTTGGCCTAACCTTAACCGACCTCCAGTCCTTGCTGTGCAATGTCAAATGGGTTAGCGTTAACTTCTAGATGTTGGATACTTGCAATGAAATGGTTCCTTAAAGGGTATGTGCAGGATGGAATTATTATTAGATAGCCACTAAAGCCATACTGTGAATATATTAATATATTTTGCAGCCTCAGAAATATTTTAGCAAAAAGGACAAAGAATCAAAAACAAATACAAATTTGTTATCAGGATGTATACAAACCATTTCAACCAAGACTATCAGAGAGATTTACTTAATGTTTAATGTGTGAGGGAATAAAAGGGAAAATATAATGTAAACTAATGATTTAATAGGATGACACGATTGTAGATTAACTTTGGTTTTATTGCCATTATTGTTGTGATAGGATTGTGCAATGCATAACAAATAAGATTGAATTCTTGGTCACTTTTTAAGCTCTGTCCAAACATTGACACCTTCTCCCTCCCGCTGGTCAATAACCTGCAGGCCAGCGAGGGAGGTAAGTTTACACATAGCTAGAATTCTAGAAAAGGACCCGGACCTTGAAAGGACTGCAGACAAAGCCCTTCTCTGATTAGGGCCCCTAAGAATATAGAACAGTCCTTCAAGACACAAATCTGTTTCCTGGGCTCTGGCTCCTGCTCTCTCCTTATTTCTAGAATAGGAAAAGTACTTGAGATTTTCCCCAGGCCCTTTATCCCCATTCCCTAAAATCTCTCTCCCCAGAGAGAAATATTTAAAAATCGTATAAGCAGGAGCATTGCTGCACCTTAGAGGATCTACACAGGAAAAGGTTAAGGACCAACACAGATTATCCACCGAGGGGCCCGCCTTGAAATTCAGACAATAAACCTAGTCCCCTCTGCTTTCCTTGATTGGAAGTATCTTTTAAAAAGAAACAAACAATGCTCGTATTTCCAGGTGAAAATCTTATGCCCTTATGGAGAAAACGGGTTCAGGAGATGGAGGTCAGAACCATTCATTTATATAAAAATCCAAATAAAAAAGTTATATTCACTAAAATAAAACAGTAAAGATGATACTAAAGAGGATATTGATTATATTTTTATTTTCCTGCTCTTATTAGTAATAATGACAACTGCAATTAAACTCCCTTTATTAATCCTTTCTCACTAGCTTTGCAGGATCTCTCTCCTTTGCAATTTCAACTAAATGAATATAAATTTGTCTTGCTTTGTTGCAGAACCTATACATACTGACAATTTGTCTTGTACTCCATACAAATGTTCAAAGATTTTATATTTTGGCCGGGCGTGGTGGCTGATGCCTGTAATCCTAGCACTCTGGGAGGCTGATGCAGGAGGACTGCTTGAGGCCAGGAATTTGAGACCATCCTGAGCAAGAGCAAGACTCCATCTCTACAAAAAATAGAAATATTAGCCAGGCGTACTGGCGCTTGCCTGTACTCCCAAGCTACTCGGGAGGCTGAGGCAGGAAAATTGCTTGAGCCTGGGAGTTTGAGGTTGCAGTGAGCTGTGATGACGCCACTACACTCTAGCCTGGGTAACAGAGTGAGACTCTGTCTCAAAAAAAAAAGGCTTTATATTTTATCTGATTTTTGTTTTTGCCGTTATTATATAACATTAGCTCTCATTTCCAGAGATCTAGTAATTTGGATGCTTGCATGAAATGTTTTTGGCAAACTTTAATATCCAGCATAACTGAAGTGGATACTATTCAATTTCCAACCTTCCACAAATTGTTACATAACATTTACCTTACCTTGAACTAAAATTCTTGCAGTTTCTGAAAGGTACTCAAAAATAATAGAATTTTCACAAAGGAAACCAGAGGTTGGTAAGGAAAAAGCAAAAACACCTTGAGTTATGGGGTGTGGGGAAAGAACAAAGCCTGAAGAGTCAAGGAGCTGCAGTTCTTAATGTTCTGGAACCTGGGTTATATCAGCTTTAAATTGGAAATAAAAATACCTGCCTTACATGTTCTCTGTGAGTTGAAAGGGGCAAGGCAAGGGGAAGCTCCTACAAACAATGACCAGCCCATAGTAGACTCTTTGGTCAGCATTGGTTGAGTCAGAGTCTGGGTCCCATGGAGCAGAGACAGACAGGAAAGTGACATGGAAGCCGTCTGCAGGCGGAGATAGGATTTAGGTTGCTGAAGAGGAAAAGAGAAGGCATTTCAGCAGAGGAGAACCATTCGCCTGAAGGCTGTGAAGTAAAAATGAGCCTGTGGCACGTGTTAAAAATCCTACCCTAAAAAAATACCTGACAGGTACTTCAGGGTCATTATTGGTGGAGAAGAGAGTGCAGGACTCATCACCTGCAAGATTCTCCCTCCCTCTCTTTTTTGTTTTCACCTAGAGATGAAAGCAGAGTCTTGCTATTTGATGAGAGAGGAGCGGCAGAAAAAGCAAGCCACATAACCACTTGTGAAAAGAACCCCAGTCTAGAAGTCAGCAACTGATCCCACATCTGTCTCCAACTGTGCTGCAGAACCAAGGATGTAATGGCTCTGTGCCTTGGTTTCCCCATTGGCTATGAAGACGCAATACTCCTTATTTCCTTAATTCATTTACCAGTGAATTAAAAAGTAGGAAAGCTCCTTAAACTACATTGTCGTACATATGTAAAGTGTTACTAGATCACAGCCCAGTCTAAGTGAGTAAATGTGGCGATCATGGGGAGAAGCCTAGAAACTGAAAAGTTCTAAGCAACTAGCAATAGCTTATTGCTTAAGAAAGAAAAGGGAAAAAAGAAAGTTGTCTTCAAGGCTTTTAAATGCCCATCTCTGGAAAAAGTGAATCGGTCTTTGATAATAGCAGAACTGAAAAGGCAATACTACCATTATTTATTGAGCAGTGTAAAGTGCTGGGCAAAGACATGTAAAGAGATAAACAAATCTGAACCCCTGAAGAGACAAATATAGCTGGGGAAATAAATTTGTACTTAAAGGTCAAATTACAAGGATACAAATGTTAAATAGAAGCAAAAATAAAAGCAAGCCAGAGTCCAAGATAGCTAAATGCCCAGATCTGAAAAAATAGGTTAAGACTTTGATGTGCTCACCAAGGCACATTTTTTTTTTTTTTTTTGAGACAGAGTCTCACTGCGTTGCCCGGGCTAGAGTGCCATGGCGTCAGCCTAGCTCACAGCAACCTCAAACTCCTGGGCTCAAGGAATCCTTCTGAACAAGGCACATTTATTTGCAGTTCTCTAAAGCATGTTTCAAATTACATGCCTATTTTGATTCTAGTTAATCTTTATGGGTATATGTTTTCTAGTGTAAAAGTACAATTAAATGTAAATGCATTTCCTTTTTCAGACACAGGTATAAGAGGGAAACCTCCCTGCCTGCCCCATGAGACCAAAGTCAAAACATATACCCCTTACCTTTGTTACAGACCAGGAACCTAGGAGGAAAAGGGGCTATGGGAGGGGCAGTGGCAGCAGGCATTGTAAACCCAAACTTCCAAGATGATGGCAAGTGGAGGTGTTACCGAAAGCTTGGCACTTGTCAACAAGGCCAAATCAGAAGAACGAAGACAAGTGGTCTAGGGAGGAGGAAAGAGATTTACTTTCCGGCAAAGGAGGAAAAATGGTAGACCTTCTCATCTCAAAAATTCAAATTTCCTGAACATAGGCAGAAATACAGAGTTTTAAAGGATGGGTTCTCAGCTTCAGGCAATGACTGTTCAACTACAGTTGATGATTCTGACCATCCCATCTCTGCTGAAGACAATCTCGTGATCACCCAGGACCTCCCTTTACCAGGTTGGGGCTTCTGTTGCACAAATAAAAGATTTACCCTGCCCCTCCCGACCACTGGCCTGAGGCAGGGATGCAAGCTTGAGTTCTCAGAAAGGAGTGGAGGATGTTTTAAAGAGACAGAAAATATTTTTGCAGTTTTTTCCAGGCCTTTCCCTCTGATACATATTCCTCACTCTCAATATTTCCCTTCCATATCTATGGGAGGAGGGGTGACTACTCTGTTACAGAGCAGGAGGGGTTTTTAGCTTTTAGACTAAGGCATGTAGTATGTTGTCTTTTACATTTAAACACAGTAATCAGTTTATGTTATATATATTTTGTCACAATTTTTTTAAATGCCATTAATCTTTCAACTTAGTAATCAAGGATCTAAAATCATTTGTTCTTTCTGGGGTCCAATCCGTGGCCCAAATAGTAGATAGAGTCTCTTAGCGTTTCTCAAACATTTTTGACAGCATTCCACAGAAAAATGTCCATCTTACTTCACAATTCAGTATACACATATGTACATGTGTGTATGTGCATGTATATATGTGGGTATGTGTGCATATTCACATGAAACTAAAATAAAAGTTTTGTGAAATACTCTTGTTGTGTGTGTTTCCCTCTGGAATTTTCTATTCTATTTAATTGTAAAAATGCTAATTTCAACCTATTCAACTGATGGGCTGTAACCTAGTTTTGAAAATCATAGTCCTGGGCCATTTCCTTTCTCAGAGCGCAAGTCTTTTTAGTGAATAGGATAAATGACGTGCTCAAAGTTAAATTTCTGGGGCTACAGCTGTCAGCCACTGGGCATGGCTGCCTTTGTATGGCTTATGAGCTAAGAATGGCTTTTTGCATTTTTAAATGGTTTTAAAAATTCAGAATAAGAATAATGTCTTATGGCACATAAAAGTATATGAAACTCAAATTTCAGAGTCCATAGGTAAAGTTCTACTGGAGCACAGCCACACTTATTTCTTTACATACCATCCAAGGCTGCCTTTGCATTGCAACAGCAGAGCTGAGTAGTTGTGGTAGAGACTGTC